TGTCTGAAGCTTGTTTTTGACAGCACTTTGGAAGGCACAAGGGAAAGTCTCTGGGAGCTGCAGTCATACCATTCACCCTGAAAGCTTGCAAGCAGTACAAGCAGCTGGGTACGAACCAAACCTCAGAGACAGACGGAGAACATTATCTTCTGTGAAGAAATCTGCTTGCATCAGCATGTGAGACTCATTAGCATAATGCATCATTACTTATTGCTCCAACCTCATGCAATTCTGGCTGATACCACTAATGTCAAGGAAGACTTCTGTGGACATGATCCTCTACAAGAATGTCCATATCACCAGCAAAAATCTCCAAGGATGGGCCCAAGAGGCTTGCAGCTGTGAGAGGTGGTCTAAATTCTCTGCAGAAGTCATGTCTTCTGTCCTCTGAAGAAAAGATATTCCTGCTTGATTACAGCGTCTTTTGCAAAAGAAAACAGAAAGCCCAAGCAAATCCACAGACCACAGTAATCTTTTGCCTGTACAGCTGGCCCCAGGGGCGGGGACAGCAGTAGAAAATGTAAATTACCCCACTGGGGCTTATTCTGTACCTGTCATGTGCTTTATCTGGCTGACATTTTTCATAAGCAATGAATTCACACACGTACTATTTTTCGTCACATTTCCCCTGCACGACATGCACTGTCTCTACAGCTGAATAGAAGGTCATGACTGGCCAGCTGGTAACACAGAATGCATTTTTATGCTGATGGTAGGGTATTCTAGCTTTTGTTTCACATCACAATGATGGCATATTTACACAAACCCTACATCTGTTTAGGTAAATTAAGCCATAAGGGCATGATCTTTGTCTTTAAAAGAGAGCTGATTTCATTTTATTGAACATAGTTTTCCATTTAAAAGATCAAAGTCAGTGCAGCCCCCTGCAGCAACAATTCAGTCTTATGTGTTTCTTCAAATATTCAAATTAAGAAAATAGAGGAACTGGGTCTGAGAAAGCTAATGAATTTTAACAGGCAACTAGCAATTATTCATTCCTTTAAAAAAATAAAATAAAATAGAATTGAAAATAAAAACAAGAATTCTCTGGGGCCTTTGTTCATCCTGGGCTTGAAGAGAGACATTTTTCCTTCCAACGAAGTCCCATGGAGTGTCCAGACTCTCCTGCCTCTGAAACTGTCAGGAATTGATAGTGGAGGCAACATGCACATTTTTAGGCAGATTTCTAGAAGCTGGTAATGTGATGGGAAAAAGACACAACATACAGAACAGTGAAGAAAATCTGGTGAAAAACTCTCCTCCCTAGCTATCATGTGTTAGTTCTAGGCATTCAGTACAGTGAAAATATCAATATTGAAAAAATATCAGTTTGTATGTGAAGTCGCTTGATATCTCTACAGAATAGTAATAGTAAAATCATGATTACGATCCTGTAGCTGTAATGGAGAATTGTGTCTTCTGAAAGAGCTTGCATGTCACCTCCTAGCATCTGATTTTGAGGAATTAACTTTTGTCTTGCAAATTTTTATTTTCTGGAGAGGACTGACTGAACATCAGCCTTACTGAGGCTTGATATTAGCTTACAAGTGGTTTCCTCACCTCTCAGGCTGACAGCAGCACTTTCTACTCCCAACGCAGGACGAGTACCATGACTACACCCCATGCTACAGCAGGATGGGGCCAAGCACGCACCAAAATCCACTCTTCTTCCCTGCTCCTATTCTGTGGTTATCCCCAGCAGGAAACCTAGGAACATGGATCAAAAGGAGCTGTAGCACGTTCCAAGTTAGCCCTCAGTCAGGACTGAGGAAACTGGACCCAAAGACTGTTTTGGCTCCAAGGAAATATTTCCAAGAGACATATGTTGTTTCTACAGCACATCTATGTAATGCATCCATATCAGCATTTCAACTTGGATCAGGAAAGCTCTTTTGAAACGTTCCTCCTGGCCACTCTTCTCTACCACGTTTTGCTTCATGTTGTGGAGCAATCCCAGCATCTGTAAACTGGACTCCATCCAGACAGCTAAACCAAAAGCTCTACTGTAGGAGTACAGTGCACTACAGCCACTAACACGAGACCAGTCAAGGAGGCCAGATTAGAGCTGTTCTAAAACAAAGTTCTGAAGTACATGGAGGGCACACACTGGGTCTCCTGCGCCAGCTCTTCTGTGCTACAACCTGCCCTATTTGTTCCAGGCCACCTGCTAATACAGGCACAGCCCAAAGAGGCTGCACTGCTGTGTTCTACCGCTCTCCCTGCTTAAATGGGTGAATAGTGCCATTTTAGGCACCATATGGTATCCCTGCAGGCCTCCAGCTGCCACTCTGCAGATCAACAGCTCGACCAAATGTCTCGTGTCATATCTGGCAGCCTCACGCAGACATCTCAGATACCTTAGGGAGACTAACTGGCTGTGAATGTCTATGTTTAGGCAACTGAGTATCATTTTACTTGGGCATCTATTCCCCTCTAGACCAAAAAAAATGGAAGCGAATGAGATTTAAAAAGAGAAAAATTGTGCTTGAAATACTATGGTGAGTTCTATAAAATAAAATAAAATAAAATAAAATAAATTAGCATTTCTTGCAAAATTCCCTCATCTAAAACTCTTGGAGACTTTTTTTGATAACTAGAAAGTACACAAAGCTTAACTTGAGCCAATAAAGATACTGTTTTATACTTCAAGAAACACCTGGTCTTTACAAATGATATATATTGTTCAGTGAGGGCTGGATTAACTGACTTTTACAAAAGTACTGAGAATCTTGAAATAAATTTCTGTGTGTGTGCTTTACTGGCCTAACAATCTAGGTGGCTCTGAGGACTGTAGTATCAGGGTCTTTGCAGGATCATGTCCTAAAGCTAGATCTGCACTGGTCAGTCACTACATTATCAAGCTTCCAAATTTGCTGGGGTAGTAAGAAACAGGCTTTGGCATGTCCTCTTCCCTGAGGACAACTGACAGGAAGGAACCTTTGCCTGTGCTAGTCTGGGCTCCCAAATGGGCTGGCTGCAGGTAAGGTGGGGTGTTCCAAGGGCTGACCATGCTTAGGACTGCTGATGGTCACAGGCCAGCCCTGTGTCACAGGTCAACGTCCCACTCCTACACAATGATCACACTTCAAAGCTGCAGAAAACCAGTTTTCTCTACCAAGAAACAGCCTAACCTTCTGAATCTGCATGGAAATATTTGGAGCTGCAGGTCTTTTAAGCACTGAAACCGAACTCTTGATGTCTTGTGGGCTTCTAACTGCCCAGCAAGGCAGTTGAACACATGAAGCTGGTAATGTTCTTTCTGGGTATGCGATGGCCAGCATTCCTGTGTATTCCTGAAAACTCCTCTCCGAGACCTGCCTGCATTTCAGCAACCAGTGACAAGCTTCTACATTTGTCACAAATGGAAATTCAAGTGATAGCACAGTCTTTTTAGGCACCGTGGGCAAAAATGTGGCAAAAATGCCACAAAAAAAAGGGAAGTATAAGAGTAATTAAGTACATTATCACCTGGCATGTGGCACATAACCTCTTGAAGACCTTTAATGAAGGCATAACAAAGGGACCGCTGATCTCATCTACCTTATTCTTCTGTTCTGTTAGTCCTTCTGAGTAGCTCTGGGTTAAAGAAAAACATGGGCTATGAAAATATACTGCATGTGTGTAATTAAGTGCCTGATGGCACTCAGTGCATATATACCAGCACTTTTAAATACAAACCTACACTTTTAAGAACTCAGCATCAAAAAACAAGCAGTGATTCCCTCTGCATGTGAGTTTCCTGTATCCAGGACTGAATATCTGAATGATCCACAATTTCTAAAATAAGTGGAGAGCATCTACAATTACATATTTTCAGTCTGCAAGTACGGCAATTCCCAAGGCTACTGTCATGCAAATAATACACCATATTATACTAGTACGTATAAATGCACTATATTAATAGCATATAGTCACAAAAATTAAACAATGCATGAATAAAACATATTTTTACAAGCTTTTCTTCCTATCATCTTGCATATACAGATTGAATATAGGAACTCTAGTATCAAGTCCATTTTTATTTACAGGATAGATTCACTGATAATTGCACTTGCTTAAGAAAGTGAAGTAAGTAAAAACCAGTGGGTTTAAATCAAATTTACATTTTAGTTATGTTCTTTTTGCATCTGCACTTCATTTCTGACCCCACAAAGGCTTATCCATATGTTTAATTTTACATTTAATGGTAACAACAGTGAAACTAACATATGTAAAAATAAGCCTGCTTTCACATCCATTATGTGCAAAAACCCACACAAGAAAAGAACAGGTGAAGTGAAAAGGTACAATTATTACCACTGCTCAGATTCTCTGAGGTTTTCCATTTCACATTCTCTCGAAAGAATATTAAGTGGAGAGAGAAATTTTGTAGGAAAATATTTCAGCAATCATTTATAAAATGTGTTTAATTTCACCTTCTACTCAGGTCTCCATTTCTGATATGACAGCATTCTCCTGTTTCCCTCTGAAATGAATTGATATTTCAGCTGCAGATGTTGATGGGCTTGGACTTCAGTACTTAGAGACCTAAATGCTCACCGGTCCTCATGACACATTTTTTCCAGGATGCCCATCACAGCAGAAGCTGCTCCTCCTCTATTCTAGTAAACAACACTGGACCACTGGATTTCAGCCACTTCTTGGGCACTTAATGCTCCTGCTGCAGTCCAGTGAATTCTGGTACACAACGGATGCAAGAGCTAGTTCTCCTGGTGATAAAGATGTGACACGAAATGTCACAGTGTCAGAGAACAGTCTGAGGTACTTCATATATAACTGTAGTATGTTTGTGGCTTTACTAGGAACGCTGAGTAACATGAACAGTATTTTGCCTTATACAGAAAAGTACAGTAGGCAATGGTGAAACAGATAACCTGCACAGGTTACTGTCGACACTAGAAAGAGATTTTTCTGTGGGACAAAACACATCACAGTGCATTTTCAAGTACCAAAACCAGAAAGGCAATAAACTGTATCTTTTAAGTGCTATTACACAGCTTTCACAAAGCACAATGTTTCTTAATTAGCTGTAACACTGTCTTGAGAACCTCTTCCTTGGAGGGGCTGGCATCAACCTCTTGACATGCAGGATTCATCATCCTTCTGTATGATTCTTCAACTCTATGTAAAAACAAAATAGGAGAAACAAAAATTCAAATTGCAGGGATATGAAATGGCATTAGTCATCAGTCTTGGAAGAAAGTGTTCATACTGCAGAGACACTGGGGAAAAAAAATCTAATTATGTAGCTAAGAATGAATCTATGGCAAAGAGCATTAGAAACAATTACAACATGCACCTCAAAGCACATAGTCGCCTTGACACTGATTCCCAGAGCTCTACCCATATTCACATGGCATGGCATTAAAGCATTTCTTTCTTTACAGCTTAGCACTGGATACAGTCTGGTACAGCAGTGCAGTGGACAGCCTGCTTCTAACACCTGAATTAATTTATTCAAAGCCCACTAAGGTGTCCCTGAACGATGTGACATGGCATTGTGTAGGTGTGCTCACTGAGTGATCTCAGCTTTGAGTCACTAGATTACAGAGTCGACACATCATTCAACCCTTTCCTCTGACCAACTCCACTAACTGGATGAATATCAGGATGAAATACAAGATGAAAACCTCATCATATAAACTATAAGCCTTCTCATAATACAGAACTCTCCCACATGTAGCCTGTGAGGATATGAATATCATTTTCTATGCTCCCACAATTAATAATGCCAAGAATTCAGGCAGCATGTCATAGGACAAATCAAGCAAGATTCTGGATGTTCTCACACATAGGCAGACATAATTAAAAGGTAGAAATAACCAAAGGCTTTCTGATAGGAATAAGAAGTAACAGAATTAAGACATGGCAGATCCTTAAATGGCAGCATGTTCCCTAGCTCACCCATCCCTCTGCAGGTCCCACTGCATGAACCATATGTCCGCACAGAGTTTCTGTCAGAATTCAGTAATGGGTATTTTTAAGGTATATCATCACCAGATATGTCAAAACTCTAGAGGAAGTTTCCAGCTTTGCAATTTATAGATACAGACAGGGACATTCAGATGTCCATACTGAAGTATCAACAAAAGTACTTAGGTATTTAAGTTTCCACTGCAGACAATGATGATCTACTTAATACATTTAGCAGAGTCTAGACAGCAATTCAGCACAGCCTGAAGTAAGATACCTGGGGTGGAATTCCGTTGCTTAAGCAAATGTATCTAGTACTGCTTGAGATGCTCTGGACTACCTCATTTAGCTTCCAGCTGCTGATCCAGAAAGTGTCTGCAAATTCTGCATCGTATCTGCCAGCCTCGTGCAGATGTCTCAGATCATATCAAATGGCTCTAGACACTTATGACGCGATCAGTGAGCTCCAAGCGGGTGATGAGGTGAATCACTTCAAAGGTTCATTTAAATGTGTACACTGTATTCAGACCTGAGACACTTAGCATAACTCAAGAGATCTACAAGAGATTTTATTCTCTTAATCTGGTATTCAGTTCCAGATTCCTCTGCGGAAGCTGTGTATTTCAACTTCTTGTCTCTCAGTTCTGGAATGTTTAGGTATCGCTTCTTCATTACCTCAGAGAGGTGCTACAATAAAAGCAGCAAATAGCAAAATACAAGTACTTTAACTCAAAGCTCCTTTGCAAAAGAATGAAATACTTCACCTGCAGCTTTCAAAGACTTTCAGTCAGAAGTGTCAGAATTTACCCTCGTCAGCCATGAATCCTTTCCAAAAAAACCCCAAACCAAAAGTTTAGACATAGGAAATCCTTGTTCCAGTAATGCGAGCGGGACATTTGCTACTGATTCTACAGGAGGCAAGATTGCCTCCATCCTCTTATTACTCATTAAAGTGTACCTTTGGCGAAACAAGCTGTTAGCTTCCAGCTCAGCTTCCTCCTTTGTTTTCTCCAGACCCCGATGCTGAAGTCTCCGGATTCGTTCCTCAGGGTCAACAGTAAGGAGAAGAACGAGATCGGGTTTAAGCAGATCCTCAGGCCACTGGTACACCTCATCATGAGCTGGTGGAAGATCCTGAACTTTTCCATTTATTTCAGTGGCAATTGTGTAGGCTGCTGTGCTGTGCCAGTATCTGTCAGGAAAATACAGAATGGAGAGAGGGCACAAATTCTGCAGTAATATAGGTGAGAAGTGTCACTATAAAGATGCATGCAATAAAGACGAGGTAGGTGACACTGATTTTGAAAGGAAATATATAAAAAAAAAAAGTTCTGTGTCATCCATTATTTCTTAACAGAGTGATAATACTCAATATAATATTCAGAATTATTGTGAATTATTAATTAAAACATACAGCAGAAGATACACATTATGCAAAGAGTGTCCCAGATACTCCATTGAAAGAAAGTCTTCTTATACAATGAGAGAGGTCTACAGAAGAGTTATATTATATGCCAAATTCCAGTACTCTGTGTCCTTTTTTTGTGGTTCCCACCCTACATCATGCAACAGATTTGCTAGAGAAGATGCAATGTTGAACTACGTGTGAATGAAAACAGACTTTATTAATGGTACTGTATTTCACTTGTATTTAACATTCTCAACTCTATGAGTCCCTGTGGTTTACACGTTTTAGTGGTTTTGAGGCTTTTTTAAAACAGCACTCACATACATGCAAACAATTTACATATAAGTATGTTTTGGGAGGAGGTTACAGTACATCTTCTGAAACAAGTCAGGGGTTTCAAAGCACACCTAGACTTTCTTTATTAAGGATAGTACCAAAAGCTGTCTATAGAGTTAGTGAAAACAAGAAGTTGCATAAACAAAAACTAAAAAAAAAGGAAAGTATATTTCTGGCTTTTCATCCTCAGAGAGTAAGTCTGGCTAAAACTGAGCCATTCTAATCCACCCATATTTCAGTTGCATCTTATAGATAGCCGTGATCAGCAGCCCTCATTCTCCTCAGGTTTGTTACAGAGCCCTGGTTTTGTTCAGGCTGCACAGTCCATGCCTCCACTATTTCCAACTGAAGCTGTAACACCTTTCAGGTGTCCTAGGTCCAGCTACGAGTATTACGCTGATGGAAGTCTCACATCTTACTGTTATCCTAAGTATTACTCTTTAGAAGATTTAATATTTATCTGCCTACCTGCAAAGTAGCACTTACAAAAAATAAAACCACCAAGAAAAAACAAAAGAAAAAAGAAGACACCCAGAGACTATCATTGACAACTTCTGCTTGCAAAACTCAGCAACTATTATGATTGCACTGATACAGGAGGGCTTCTTAAATATACAAACCTGTCTATGATCACAGGTGCCTGAGTGGATGCTTTTGCAATTTCTGAAGCAAGAATGTAGTTGCCCGCAGCATAAAACGCTCTTTTGATAGGTGTTGGCTCATTATCAAATACCGTCCTCCACTGGCTGATGCAAGCTGGTGGGGACCTTAGCAGAACACCGTTCAGGGTCTCCTTAACAGACTGGGTTACAGTGGTTTTCCCTGCATTTCATTTACAGAAGGAAACACTTGTTACATAAAATGTCAGATACAACCAGGTTTTAAAAATTGGAAAATTCTCCTATCTGTTCACTTCGAGCACATGTTCTGACAGCTGACTGAGTATCTTCTGACAAGGTTTTGTACCACTCTTGGGGTCCTCCACCCCTCCTTCTTCTCAGCTTTCGGTCTTCACTCCCTTAAATGCATGTCAATATCTCTGTATATCCATTCACAGTGTTTTTCTGGGTCATAATTCATGTGGATGTAAACTGTCTGAAAAAATCATGTTTCATCACCTGCACAAGAAATTTAATTTCCAGCACTCCAGTCTCCGTATTATTTCATTTACACACATAAGGAATTCATCCACTGAATGAAAATTAGCATATGCTGTTATATCTTTTACAAGTAAGAGAATCATAGAATAGTTTGAGCTGGAAATGACCTTAAAGATCACCTAGCTTCAACCCCCTGCCATGGGCAGGGGCATCTCCCACTAGAGCAGGTTGCTCAAAGCCCCATCCAGCCTGGCCTTGACCGCTGCCGGGGAGAGGCCAGCCACCACTTCCCTGGGCAACCTGTTCCAGTGTCTCACCACCCTCAGAGTAAAGCACCTCTTCCTAACGTCCAACCTAAATCTGCTCTGCTCCAGTTTAAAACCATTGCCATTGTCCTATCGCTACAGTTCCTTGCAAACAGTTCCACCCCAGCTTTCCTCTAGGCCCCCTTCAGGTACTGGGGGGCCAGTACCTGAGGTCTCCCTGGAGCCTTCCCTCCTCCAGGCTGAACAGCCCCAACTCTCTCAGCCTGTCTTCGCAGTAGAGTTCCAATCCCCTGATTATCTTTGTGCCCCTCCTCCGGACCTGTTCCAACAGATCCATGACACGGGGGGTATTTATAATTTAATTCTTTCAAATCTGTCACAGGCTTCCAAGATTTATTTTTTTTTTCATTTTTAAGCCTGGGTGAAAGCCATAGAAGTTGCTCTTTCCACCAATTTCTCATCCACAGCCCTTCACCTCTTACCTGTGGCATCCAGCCCCTCAAAAACCACGACGGGAAATCCTCCTTTCTTCTGCTGCTCAGGACATTTCTCTAGCAGGTCCAGCACCGCTCCGGCCTCCGGGATCCGCGCTGCGCACTGCAAGGGAGAGATGTGACCCCCTTCACGCCGGCCGCGCACCCTCCTTCCCTGCTCACCC